TATATGTTTAAGTTATATTCTTTTAACATTTGTTCTGGACACATGTATTTGGTCATTTTCAATATCCAACCTCCCTCTTCCCTTGTTCTCTTTCCTCACCTCCAAAAAAATGATATGTATAGCTTTTAAGTGACCTGTTTTTGAGTTCACTGATTTTTTTTGCTTCATAAATGGTACTATTAACAAACCGTGTTGCATTTTTGATTATGATCTTTGTATCTTTTTGATCCAGAATTTCTGTCATTTTTAAAAATTGCTTTGATCTCCTTAGTAAATTTATCTTTGTGTTCATCCATTCATGATTATGTTATTTGTTGCTTCCTGTGTTTTCTTGAGATTTACTTGTCTTTATAACAGTTATTTTGAATTCTTTCTAAAGCAATTACTTTTCAAAGGGCAAACTACTAAGGAAGCATTGTGGGTTTCTTTGGAGGTGTTAAAACTTCTTCAATTTTTGTTATTGTTGCCTTTGTTGTTGTTTCTTATTTCCTTAGATTGATATCATTACATTAGATGGAACAGTAATTACTTGTATATTTTCCATGCTAATTTTGATGTGTAAATACTCTTGTCTACAAGAGAATGCAAGAGCACTTAGTAGGGGGTGGAATTGAGGATTTCAGCAAGCTGGCACTAATGAAGACATATAAGTCTATGTAGATTTTACTCAGTTCTCTTAAGTGAGGTTGGCCATGACAAGCATGGCAAGGATTCCCAGTGGCTATTACCATGAATGACTGTCACAGCAGTGAAATCTGAGTTGATGGCACTTGAGTGGGATGGCTTTGATCATCTCCCTGTTTCTACTCTCTTATTGGGAGAGTTGGCACTGAGTCAGACTTTCTGGATCATCATTGTGATGGTAGCACTGGGGTCTCATTGGGGGAATGCCTATGAAGCAATATATGCATAGATGAACTATATACCTGGAATTAAAGGAAGCAATAGTACCCAGAATGCAGGTACAACCTATACACACATGGTGACAATATGCAACACATGGACGCTTCCAAAGCATTCAGAAATTCAAGAGAGAAAGATCAGAGCCTGCCTTGAAAAGAGCTGCACAGGCATGCAGATCCCAGCCAGAAGCCATGTGTTCAACAGTGGTATGAATTCCCAGGTTTAATCCAGAAGCCCACTCAGACACAAGTGACTCAAGTGCACAGCCCCTCAGGTGCACTTAGATGTACAAACCCTCCAAAACAAACATTATGCAGGTTGGCATACTCCGGCCAGAGGCACACCCAGATACCATCATAAGTGTGCATAAGCCACAGCCAGAACACTTCCTGGAAAACAGCACATTGCAGGGATCCAGAAAGCCATCATTCTGAACTCAGAGATTTCTGTAGTGATAAGCAGCAGAGAGAAGGTCTATAAGGCTTGCTGAAAATTGAAGGCCACTAGTTGAGCAAAGAGTCTACTCAACAAAGGTGAAACAGAAATGAGAAGACACGTAAACAAGACTCACAACCAGACTTCCAGATCACCTAAGGCAACCCAAAGGGGCAAAGAGTTGGAACAATCTGATATTCAACCACCTGGACTCCCTGAACTGGCAACATATCAGGATCTGGAAAAAAATGAAGTCATAATTATTTATGAAATAAAAACAGAGATTGTATCCAGAGTGCAAGGCATAATTAAAAACTCTAGATCAGACACAGATTAAAAAAAAAGAGGAGATTAGTAATGTGATGGAATCCCAGCATAGGAAAAACATGGAATTCATACAGATATCCAAGAAAAACCCCATTGAAAGTGTAGGCAGCAGAATGAGCCAGTGTGAGGAAAGAATATGAGACATAGATGACAGGATTGCAATCCATGACCAGGAAATGAAAATTTTCTTAAAAATAAGGTACCATGAGAAATCATTTCAGCAGCTTCTAGATGATGGAAAAATGAATAACATATTGAATAACTGATTGGAATTAGTGAAAAAACAGGAGACAGTGCAAATGATAGAAAAATCTGTTCACAGAAGTAATGAAGGAAAACTTTCAAAGAATAGAAAAAGAATTTGACATACACATAATTGTGTCATATAGGACTCCAACTAGTATTGATCAAAGAATCTACAACTAGGTATATAATAGTTAAGATTCTACAAGTCCAACATACGAACAAAATTCTACAAATACTTAGAGAAAAGAAACAAATAAAATACAAAGGAAAGCCCAGCAAATCACAGTAGACTTCTAAACACAAACCCTAAAGGCAAGAAGATCTTGGACTGATGTATTTCATGCACTAAAGTAAAACAACCACCAACCAAGAAAGATGTACCTTGCAAAACTATCTTTTAAAAATTGATGGAAAACTAAGATAATTTCATGACAAAAAAAAAAAAGCATTTGAGGAACTTCATGAATACCAAACATACAATCCAAAAATTTTTGAACAATGTCCTAAGAAAAGACAATGAAGGTTACAAATCCTGGAAGCCCAGCAGAATAAATAAATCAGTCAAGATAAGACATTAAATGCAAAGGGGGAGTTTACAACAACAGGAAAATGTCATAACAAGGAGAGGTCAATATATATGTTATAAGAATCAATGTTGCTGGTCCCAATTCATGAATGAAAACAGACTGACAGAACATATAAAAAAGCAAAATCCCACAATATGTTGCATACAAGAACCATACTTAATTCAAAAAGTCTATGAGTTTCTTTTTTGAATTAAGAAGGATGGAAAACAATACTCCCTTTGACAGGAACCAGGAAAAAAGTAGGAGTAGTTGTACTATTTACAGATCAAATAAATTACAAGTCAACATTAACTGAGAGACAAAGAAGGCCAGGGCATCCATGTGAATAGAACAATCCAAGAGCAAGAGATGACAATTGTAAATATATATGCACCAGATACTAGTGCACACAACTATATAAAACAAAGCTTAATAGACATGAAAAATCAAATGAGCACTAACACAATAGTACTTGGGGACCTCAACTTTCCACTATCACAAATAGATGGATAAAGAAGACAAAAATGCACTACAAAATATTCAGACTCAATCAAACTCATGAACAAATGAACTTAACAGATGTACCCCTGGTCCAGAAATCTGTTTTATCTCACCATATGTGATTCTTCATTGTTTTCTGACAGATGAGTTGCAGAGTTCCCCTGGGGCCTGGAACAGTGTTATTTAAAGCAAGTGAACAGCTGTGGCACCCCTTAATATTTACCTGAAAGTTTTGTGCATCTCATTGTCTGAGTAATTCTCTAGACTTGGGCTGGAACCCACACCAGTCATTTGTGAATCTGTTTGCTGACATTTTCACAGTTTGGGTATGTCTTTATTGTGTGATTAAAGACAATTTTAAATTGAGTATATGTACAAAAAGAATAAAGTAAAAGTAAAGGAAAATACTTGACCCTGTCAATGGTCCCTGACAGTGTGTGAAGAGGAAAGACCATCCTTGCTTTTGGTGGATTTTTAACTGAATTTGAATTTCCTAATTCTACCCAAAGTTTAAAAACAAAATCAAATTAATAGAAAATAAAAAATGTAGTCTTGTCTTTATAATGTCAAGAAATTACACAAATGACATATTCAAAAGAAAAATGATGACAGAAACCAAAAATTTGTGAAAAATATAAATGTATAACAAAATTTGAAACTTTTTTAAAAATAGAAGACTTCCCTTTCCTGGATACATTTTATAATTATTTTCAATGTTTTTCATATATATCATATGCCAATGTGAGTTTTTTTTTCTTATATTCCTTCTGTACAATTAGTTATTTCAATTCTTTAGGTTAAAGGGTTTTTGAGGGGTTAAGGGGTCATTCTTTTTCAAATACAGTGATCTATCTGCACTATACAGATTATCTAAACTATAGTTTAAACTATATAATTTATCTAAACTATAAGACTTTCCAGATCATTTTATAAAATATCAGTTAAATAATATTTTTCTAATAATCATAGAACATTTTCTAGGAGAAACCACAAAACGTATCTGAAGAAATATTTAAAAATTAAAATCATTTTACATATGAATAAAATCATTATCATATAAAAAGAATCATAAAGAAATAAAACCAGGTTTCTAAATTATTGCATATATCAAAATCACAGGAGCATCAATACCAACTAAAACAAGATAAGAAAGTATTTTGCAGTGCAATAGCATTTTAGTAAGATGAGATCCCTGTTGTTGAATCTTTGTGCTAGTTCCCATGCTATTGAGGATTTGTTCATAAAGACATTTCCTGTGCCATTGTATTCAAGAGTTCTGCCTAAATTATCTTCCAGAAAATTTAGTGTCTCTTTTTTAACATTTAGATCTTTAATCCACTTGGATTTTAGTTTAGTGCATGGTGAAAGATAAAGGTCTAATTTTAATCTTTGGCAGCTTGAAATCCAGTTTTTCAAACACCATTTATTAAAGAGGCTATTTTTCTTCCAGTGAGGATGGTTGGCTCATTTGTCAAAGATGAGGTAGCTGAGTACATCTGGAGTTGTTTCTGCATCTTTCAATCTATTCCACTGATCCTCCAGTCTGTTTCTTTGCCAGTACCATGCTGCTTTTATCACAGTGGCTTTGTAGTATATACTTTCAAGTTGGGAATTGTTATACGCACTGCCAAGTCTCTGTTGCTAGGATGGCTTTTGCTATTCTAGGTCTCTTCTGGTTTCAAATGAATTTTTGTTTGTTTTTTTTTTGGTTTTTAGAGACAGAGTCTCACTATGCAGTTGAGATTGACCTGGAACTCTCTATGTAGCCCAGGCTGGTCTTGAACTCACAGTGATCCTCCTGCCTCAGCCTCTTGAGTGCTGGGATTAAAGGTGTGCACCACCATGCCTGGCTCCAAATGAATTTTTGGATTATTTTTCTAGTTCTGTGAAATATAGTGTTGGAATTTCAATTGGTATTGCATTGAATCTGTAGAGCAGTTTTGGTAGCATGGCCATTTTCACTATTTTGATTCTTCCTACCCAGGGGCAGGGGATATCTTTTCATTTTCTTATATCCTTTTCAATCTCCTTTTTCAGAGTGCTGTAGTTTTCAGCATAGTGATTTTTGCTTCTTTTGTTAGATTGATTCCTAGATACTTCAATATTTGGATGCTATTGTTAAAGGAACTGTTTCCCTAATTTCTCTCTCAGTGAGTCTGTTATTTGTGTACAAGAAGTCTATTGTTTTTTGAGTGTTGATTTTGTATCCATCTACTCTGCTGAAAGGGTCAATTAAGTCTAGAAGTCTTTTGGTGAAATATTTTGAGTCTTCAATGCAGTGATTCATATCCTCAGCAAACAGAAATAAAAGACAACCTACAACATGGGATAATTTTTACTATCTGCTCCTTAGACATAGAAGTATTATCTACAATATACAAAGAACTAAAAAAAATCATCCCCCACAAATAGACTCTATTCAAAAATGGGCATCTGAAATGAACAGACATTTCTCAGACAAAGAACTAAAACCATCAAGTAGATATGTGAAGAAATGTTTCATATTGCTGTTCATTTGAGAGATGCAGAAGAAAACAATGCTGAGATTCCACCTTTCTCCAAAAAGAATGGCTGTTATCAAGAAATCAACCAATAACACGCACCCATGTTTACAGGGGCAGAGTTTGTTATAGCTAAAAATTGGAAATAGCCCATTAGCCCATCATTTGGAGACTGGATAAAGAAAATGTGGTTTTTCTATAAAATTGAATACTACTCAGCCATAAAGAATGAAAAATTAGAGTCATTCATAGGAACATGGATACCCATTGAGGATATACTCTTAAGTGAAATACGTAAGTTCCACATGTATAAATACTGAATAGTTTCTGTGGTGTTAAAACTTAAAAGTGTAAAGAAGCTCCAAATGATATAATTGACCATGTGAAATGGGAAGGAAAGGGCTAAAGGAGTAGGGGAAGTGGGAAGGGTAGGGGAAAGGAAATAAAGGAAAAGAAAATATATGAGAAAATGAAAAATGGAAATAAAGTATTTGTAAATAGGGAAGAGAGGAGGGAGTGAAGGGAGGGCAAGGAGAAAGGGAAAATGAGAACTAAGACCTGTCATATAAAGGTAGAAGATCCCAGTGATGAATGTAACTGTGCTGTATACATAAAAGATATCAATAAACTCAATGAGAAAAACAGCAACAACAACAAAAATGATACAAATTATTAACCTACATAAAAAAGCACATTTTCTGTCTCATAGGAGGAAAATTAGAAACTCATCTCTCCCTAGAAAAATCACAGGAATTGCAAAATGTTAAAAAAATATGGAATTGGAGGAAGAGTTTAATTGGGGCCACACAGGTACAGGTAAACTCCTACAATAAATGGAGTGAGAGAAAGAAAGCCAGAAAAAGGAAGGGAATAGAAGAAACTCATCAGATCCAAATTTGCTATCAGGAGGGTTAATAAAGGAGACTTGTACTGCCAGAGTAACATGGCACAACTTACACCCTAGGTTTTGCCTATCTATTATTTTAGGAGAGGATCTAATGACCCAAAGGAATGAGTCATCAAGATACACTACTAAAATTCATAGCTAAAATTGATGATATCTGTAAAAATTAAAATGGGGAAATTAGAACTACAGGGACCGGAAGCAGAGGTGAATGATATTTTAAAAAGCAGCAACTTATATTATGTATAGGCACCTAATTCCCAAGATGACTGCAAACTGCATGTACTGCAAAAATGAACTAAACTTGTTCTCAAAAAGACTCCTAGTCTGAATGTTGTCCTTCAGAGGAAGAGGAACACAATGATCGAGACTGAAAACTTGTAGGACATGTTTGAGAGTGCACCAGTAGGCCCTTGTGGAAGCTGATGACAGATGCACAACCCCGATTAGAATCTCAGCACTGAGCACTGAGGAGACTGGCTGTCCAGCTACATGAGCTTACAGTGACTTTGAATGGTGAAATCCTGGGGAGAGAAGAGACAGGTGCTGAACGGACACTAACTAACTCCTCCCCCAAACACTGGGCATGCTCTTGTTTGCAGGACATCATGCCCTCTGCTCATGGCCCACAGTCTGTGCTCAAGTTGAAGGCCTTTCTCACTGTGCCAGAAGCTACTGAATGGCAGCCACTGTGGAAAATGAGCTGAGAAAGAAATATAATCCAGAGGAGAATGAAGCTTAATGCCCATTTATGATATTTTGCAATGTTAAAATTTACATTAATGAACCATTATAGATCAAAATTTCCAGTAGAGAATTACACACATAAGTTTGTTGCCAATTTTAGTTTTATCCATGAGAGAAAAAATTATGATTATTTAAAAATAAAACAAAAGTAATACATTACTTGGCTTGATATTTATCTTTTTTCCACGTTAAGTTTATCGGTACATTTAAAGCAAACAATACAGTTACATTTATCTTTGGGATCTTGTACATTTACATGGTATGTCTTGGTACTTACATTTTCCCCATACCCAAGGCCTCACTTAACCCTTCCCTATTTACAAAGACTTTGTTTCTGATTTTTCCTCTTTTCACACTTTTCCCTTATTTCTTTAAATTTTAAGAAGAAATTACTCATGAGAACCATGAATCGATATACAACATAAGAGAGAAATGCAAATATATGTATGATACTATTTTTTGGAAACAAGAGCATTAAGACAATATCAAATGGAAAATCTTTCAGGTAATGGACAGAGCAAAAATTTAACAGAATGTGAAGTGACATAGAACAGTTAAATGGTAATCTTGGGCATATTATCTAGCTCCCAGATGACCTCTTAAATAATATTTTCAGAGCAGCCTTGATGTCTCTATTCCTCAGACTGTAGATGAAGGGGTTCAGCATGGGTGTGACCACAGTGTACATTACTGAGGCTGTTTCAGTAGCATATGGGTTTTGAGTGACAGCAGAACTCAGGTACACACCTAGGCTTGTGCCATAGAATAAAGAGACCACTGAAAGGTGAGATGTACAGGTGGAAAATGCTTTATACCGCCCCTGAGCCGATGAGATTGCCCGTATGGAGGAAACTATCTTAAAATAAGAGTGAAGGATGCCAGCAAAGGGACCAATAGCCAGCAGCAAAACAGAAACATATGTTGCCACATCATCGGGAAAGGTATCAGAACAGGCACCTTGCACAATTTGATTAAGTTCACAGAAGAAATGTGGTATTTCCAAGTCAGAGCAAAAGGACAGTCGCAACAGCATTAAGCTGTGTAACAGAGCATTTAGGAAACTCACGATCCAACATGCTAGAACCAGCAATACACAGAGCTGGGGGTTCATGATGACCGTGTAATGAAGAGGGTGGCAGATGGCCACATAACGGTCATAGGACATCACACTCAACAGAAAGTTGTCCAACATTATAAATTGTAGAAAAAAAAAACACTTGAGCGATGCAGCCTTCATAAGTTATTACTTTTCTCTGAGTCTGGATGTTCACCAGCATCTTTGGTACTGTGGTGGAGGTGAAACTGATGTCCACAAAGGAGAGGTTGGAGAGGAAGAAGTACATGGGTGTGTGCAGGTGGGAATCAGAGATGGTGGCTAGGATGATGAGCAGGTTCCCTAACACAGTGGCCAGGTACATGGACAGGAAAATGCCAAAAAGGAAAGGCTGCAGTTTTGGATCATCTGAAAATCCTAGAAGAACAAATCCTGAAATTTGTGTGTAATTTCTTGTTTCCATATTGTTAATGTAACCTGCAGAGACAGAGAGAGAGAGAGAGAGAGAGAGAGAGAGAGAGAGAGAGAGAAGAGAAGAGAAGAGAAAAGGGATGTGTATGCACAATGAAAAACAGAAAAGACTTGTACTAGTAACTTTACACAAATGCTATCACTTATTTTCTGCAGTCCATACATTACTTTTATGTTTTATGTACTTTTAGTTACCTTTTAATGGATCAATCTGTCATCATGTGTGAGGAAATTCTTTTCAATATTCAGCTGCCATCCAGCAATCATATGTTCCTTTATTATAATGAAAAACTCTTGGCATTATACAATTATAAATAAATATAAATCTTTTTAAAAGAACTGCCTAGAGGGATGGGGATTCAGTGCTGTGGGACCACTGCCTGCCTCACAAGCACAAGTTCCCAATGTTGATCCATAGTACCAAAAAAGTCCTGTATAATATATTTACAGTGCAAAACACCAATTGTGCATATAATATAATGATAGAGAAACTATACAAGCAAACTTTAAAACATTGTATAATGTGAGACCATAGCAAATGTCTGGAAGAAAAGGAAATAAAATAAAAATAGAATGGGATATTTATTACTTTTTATTTTCTTTAAACTGACTTTCAGGCAAGAACAGTACATAGGATGACAATTGACCAAAAAATCTCAAGGACTATGGGGTGAGTGCCACAAGGTTCTCTGGGGAAGTTTTGTCTGTAGGAGGAACAGACAATCCTAAGCCCAGAGAAGCATGCATCATTCAGGTTTATTTCAAAATAGCTAGAGATTATATTGAATGTTCCCACAGAGAAAGTAGTAAATATTTCAGAATATGGATATTCTAATTACCATAATATCACATTTTACCACAAAAACGTGCAAAACTATTATGCCTATTAAAACTAAAATGTTCCAAACATTTCTCACTGCAACCACATCTCATCTGCACTATAATTTCTTTTGTTTTATTGTTATATTTTAGGTATCAATACAGTTACATTAATCATTGTGATCTTGTATGTAGACGTGGTGTATCTTGTTTCTCATTTTCCCCATTCCCTTACCCTCCCTTTAGACCCTCCACCCTTCCCTATTTACAAATAATTTGTTTCCATGATTTTCCTTTTCTCATAATTTTTCTTTTCCCTTCTTACCTTTCCCATACCTCTCCTATTTCCCTTACACCTTTAGACCTTTTCTTCGTATTACACTATATTAATTACACATTTTGATCCTTATTTTATTTGTAGTGTATAAAACAAGATATAATAACATCTTTAAAAGAGACACTTTGTATAGATTACAAGATTTCAGAGATTAGAGCACCCTAACAAGGCAAAAATTATCTCAATGGTACCAATTATAATAATTATTTCATGCACTTTTAGTTAGACACACAAAGTCTCATTATTTTTGAGCTATAAAATATGATGACAATTGTGCTCAGTTCATTAGGGTCTAGGAGAAGTTAAATGAGTTTAGATACAAGAATAATTCATTTTAATTCTAAAAGAGGAAGAGAGAGGAGAGGTGATGTTAGAAAGCATTGAAAAATTCATGTGTATATCCACATGAAATTAAATGAATACTATAAAGGGATACCGCCCATACATAGCATGGCATAATTCAAAGTAACCCAGATAGGAAATCAACTAGGCAACAATCAGTGGAAGAATAGGGAATTAATATGTAGCATATGTGCATATTAAAATATTGTTCACTTATATTGATGAAATCTCTCACAGCTGTATCAATGGAACTGAAAGATATGACTGTAAGTGAAATGAGTCACACACAGAAAAACAAATACTGCAGGTCCTCATATGTGAAAGCTAGAAAAATTGATGGCATAGAACAGAGAATTAAATAGTGTTCTTCTGAGACCGGGAAAAAAGGAAAAGGAGAATCAGTGAAAGATTAGAAAGCAGGCACCAAAACATCATCAGACCTGTGGAATTTGTGCTACTGATCTACAGCACACTAGGGTAAATGCAGTCTATACCAATGTATAGTAAATTTCATAATAAGTAGAACTCTCCAAAGTGTCACAACTGTGAAAAATAAATGCTGGAAAATGTAGAAATACTAAATATACCTCAGTACTCTATATGCGTATATCACCTTATCATACAGAACCTCATGGTTAGACACCAGTATTGTCTAAATTTAAAATATGCTGAAATAAATAAAAAATATGAGAGTATAGGCTTCTTGTTCCTGAAACAGCAGACCAACATTCTCCCTGTCCACATTTTTTTTCTCATTTGCTCCTAATTAAGTTGGTTGCAAAGTTTCTCTCCAATAGAAGTGGATCCCTTTTAATTTACAAGTTTTATTTGTGTTCTGGCCTATTTAATGAATCACATTTAGAGTTCAAAAGCCCTTTCACTTATGACAGGATTATGTCCTGAGAAAATCAGTGTAAATTGAGGTTACATAAATCCAAAAAGCTTTTAATGAATAAAACCTACTGAAAATCCTTGGTTAGGGACAGACTGTGCTATAATCTCAGGATGTTTTCCCATGTAATCATGTAACCAACTGGGAACTGACTTGCGGCAGGTACCAAGTATTTTGGAAGAGTATTAGTAATATTACTAATGAGAATAAAGGAAAAAAGTTGGAGTACAAAGTTCTTGGAATCAGTTATTCTCCATCATAAAAGCAAGAAAGCACTTCAAAATATCGCATGTTGTATTTGTGTGCATATTGTGTGCATAAAGCCATTCTCTGAAATTGCTCTCATCACTTAAAGCAAATTATCTTTTCTGTGGCTGGGGTACATTCAATTGACCAATTGGTCTTTGTATAATGATAGAAAAGCTTATAGCCTGTCTCATTTTTCCTGTGAGATTCTTCCTTTTTTATTCTTAGGCTTTGGATTTAAATCTTTAAAAACATTCCCTCAATTTTTAATTGACAAAATAATTTTACTTATTTTTGAAGTACAGTAAGTTATTTCAATTCTTTTAAATGTATGTCAGTCAGATAAAGATAATTGACATTTCTTTCACCTTAAACATTTATCCCTTCTTCATTCGGGAACATTCAAAGTCTTCCGTTCTAGCTATTTTGAAAGATACTGTTAGTTGCTTTCAGCCATAATAACCCTAGTACACTGTAGAGCACAGAAATAATTACTCTTATGAAGTGTTCCCTTCAGTCATTCATCATCTTTTCTCCATTTTCTCTTCTCTCACACTCTCCAGCCTCTAATAACCACAATTCTAATTTTTTGTTTTATTCTGTGTATTATACTGGGAATATCAATCTGCACACTCTAGAGCTAGTTCTGGTATTCAGACAACATTCACTGATTTCCCACTGCCATATTTATAAAATTATGCACAGACCATTAACATTTTCAATAAATAAACCTTTCTTTGTGATACGTCCCTAGCATATTATAGCAAATGCAAATTTAGTTGCTTGTACTCTTTCCTAGCTATTACAATGTAAAGAGCAATTGAACAAGGATTTCACATGTTCATCTTTTCTTTCAAAATGATGTGTGATCATACATGTGTTATTTTAGGAAAATTGAAGAAAATGAGAAGCTTTGAAGTAAAAGCAATTGTGAAGGAAGAGTCCACACGTACATATATAGTGCAACTGTTTTATAAACACTTTTTAATGTGGACTCTTCCCTCACAATTGCTTTTGCTTCAAAACTTCTCATTTTCTTCACTTTTTCCTAAATAATATGCATATGATCACACATCATTTTGAAAAGAAAGATGAACACATGAAATCCCTGTTCAATTGCTCTTTATGTTGTAATAGCTAGGAAATAGTACAAAGAAGTAAACGTGCATTTTTCACAGTGACATATGCACACCCATGTTTACAGCAGCAGAGCTTGTAATAGCTAAAACTTGGAAATAGCCCATCTGCCCATCAGTTGGAAACTGGATGAAGAAGATGTGGTTTTTCTATAAAATGATATACTACTCAGCCATAAAGAATGAGGAATTAGATTCCTTCATAGGAAAATAGATGCATATTGAGGATGTACTCCTAAGTGAAATAAGTCACACATGTGTAAATACCAAATAGTTTCTCTAGTGTGAAAAACTATAATAGTACATAAGACCCTAATGATATAATTCACAATGTGAAATAGGAAGCAAAGGGCTAAAGGTGTAGGGAAACTGGGAAGAGTAGGGGAAAGCTAATAAGGGAAAAATATATGAGAAGATGAAGAAATGGAAAAAAAAAGTGTTTGTAAATGGGGAGGAGAGGAGGGGTTGAAGGGAAGGCACAGACAGGGGAAAAATGAGAGCCAAGGCCTGTAATGTAAAGGTACAAGATCCCAATGATGAATGTAACTGTACTGTATACCTAAAATGTACCAATAAACTCAGTGATAGAAAAAAATTCAGAATTTAAAGAAAAACAGCAATAAGTTAAGAATATCAATATAAGTTTATAATTATATTGGTATATATATAAGGATAAGATTATATATCATGCAGTGGTTTTAGATGATACTGGCACATAAGGATCTTAGGTCAAATTAGGAATTTCATTCCATATATATGGATATTTACCTTAAGATTTATTGTAATTAACTTCCTTACAAAATATTGAATGATTACAACCTGGCATTGATAGCTGTTAATCCGAAGGAAAATAAATTTGGTACTTTAGCTTAGACATCTGATGAAAAATCAGAGAATATAAATAGTTCAATGTGAAAGTAAACATGATTGTGTTGCATGACAAGAAAACTATGGTTAAAATCTTCAGGTGGTGATTTTAAAATAAAGAAATGCATAAGAAGATAAACATGTAACTAATCAAAAACTAAAATATTTTCTAGGCAAAAAGCTTCTGAAAAATGGATACACAATAATATAAAATACATTTGAAATTCATATAATTGTAAACAATGAGCATTACATGTGAAATACCCAGTAAAAATACAAATATTAAGTAAATGCAGTCAGTGAAACTATTAAACATAACCATCATTTATAAGAGAGTTCCTTAAGGGGCTATT